TGTAGAGTCAAAAAAGAAATGATACAAATGAACTTACAAATCAGAAAGAGACTCAGAGAGCAAACTTACGGTTGCCCAGGGGGAAGTGTGGGGTGAAGGGATGGTTAGTGAGCTTGGAATGGACATGCACACACTGCTATATTTAAAATGGATAATCAACAAGGACCTACCATATGGCACATGGGATTCTGCTCAATGTTACGTGGAAGCCCGGATGGGAGGCGAGTCTGGGGGAGAATGGATACATGTATGTGTATGGCTGAGTCCCTTGTTCACCTGAAACTATCACAACATTGTTAATTGGCTATACTCCAATATAAACTAACAAGTTTAAAAAAATTAGTAATGATGTCCTTAGAAAACTTCCAGAAGGAAAAAAAAGATATTGTCAAATTCCTTCTAAGGTAACACTTCGATTTTCTATTAACAATATGTGACAGCATCTTTTTCCTTACATCACAGCAATTAATAAACACTATTCTTTTTCATGGGCTTCCCTGGCAGCTCAGCTAGTAAAGAATCCGCCTGCAATCTGGGAGTCCTGGGTTCGATCCCTGGGTTGGGAAGATCCCCTGGAGAAGGGAACGGCTACCCACTCCAGTATTCTGGCCTGGAGAATTCCATGGACTGTATAGTCCATGGGGTGGCAAAGCATTGGGCACAACTGAGTAACTCACATAACATAACATTCTTTTTCAGTTTTTGCCTGTCATATTGGTATAAAGTCATTATCTCATTGTTACTTTAATTTCCAGCTCCATAGTAATAAATTGAGCAATTTTTCCTAACAAAAAGAAAAGAAGCATCCTGAAAGCCCACCCACCTAAAATAAAACAAAATTTTTAAAAATTCTACTGCAATGAGGTATAGGTTCATTACGTTGTTCCTTAAGGTAACTGACTTCCTTTCTTAAACTGCAACACATGAATTAACTCTTGGTCACACATGTCTTAGCGTGACTTTGTTTATCTTAAGGTTTCAGCCTGAGCTATGCTCTTCTTGAAGCTCCTCTCCAGTCAGCTTGCGAAGAGATGGGGAAGGGACTAAACTGAGGGGACACTGGCACTTGAGTTTGACGACAAAAGCAGAGGATGGTTTCACCATATGTTTCAAAACCAGTCCTTGCTCACAATTTTATACCAAATTTGCAGAGACAAGTGTCTTGTGCAGACATAACACAGTAAGTGAACATAACAAAAGTTGGTTTAAAACTTGAGTGAAATGACCCATTTAACTGTGTTCATTCCACTAGAGCACACTTGAACTTGATCCCTCAACAGGTAAAATTACAGCCTCCATTGACTGCAGGCTTTCCAGAGGCCAAAAAATCTACATCCCAGTCTCAAAATGGGTCGCATCTAATTTCCACATGTCCTCATACATAAAGTTTTCCACGTCTTCCCAAAGATGATTCATTTCAGTGTTTTGTGAGCTTTGCTGCTGGAGAAATCTTCACCTTTAACTTGTAATGCCCACAGTACAGTGGGAAATGACATTTCTCAGGGCAACTGGTTTCCTGTCCCAAGTTTCCATGTTAGGTACCAAATGAGCGCCTCCCCCTCCCCACCCCTCAGCACCAAGACCTCAGACAAGTTCCCAGGTTCGATAAGAGGAATGAGAGATGTGTGAATATACAATAGTGTTGGTTCTACGAAAGCCTCATGGCAAATTGCTTCAGGCCACCCTCAAAAGCCCTTCCCAGCTCCAAGTCCTAAGACTGAAGCCAAACACTTTTCTCTTCCTTCTCACTGACTGGGCTTTAACAGAGAGTCAGGCATTTCAGTATTTATTCATTCAGTTACTGAACGCCTACTGGCTTCAGCCTCTGATGTGTCCAGTCCAGGCCCCTTCATCAGCCCTTGCCCGGCACTGAGCTCTGGTCCCAGGACTATGCCAAGAGGGGCAAACAAAACTGAGGCTTCCCATCAACACCTCTCATCTTACTAGTGGTCTCTCCTTATCTGTTTGTAACCATTTTATTGAGAGATAGTTAACATATCATGCAATTCACCCGTTGAAAGCATACAATTCGATGGTTTTTAGTATATTCACAGAGCTGTAAAACCATCAGCAGAGTCATTTTTAGGACATTTTCATCATCTCAAAAAGAAAACCTATAACATCCCCTCACCCCAAGTTCCTCAGCCAAAGATAACCAACAGTCAACTTTCTGTTTCTATAGATTTGCCAATTCTAGACATTTTCATATAGATTCTATTCTATTCCACTTAGATGGAATCATACAAATGTGGCCTTTAGGACTGACTTATCTATCTTGGCATAATGTTTTCAGAATTCATCCTAATTGTAGGAGGTATCAGACCTTAATTCCTATTTATGGCTGAATGATATTCCATTGTACAGGTATTCCCTTTTTTGCTCAACCATCCTTCAGTTGACTGACATCTGGATTGTTTCCACTTTGGGCTATAATGAATAATGCTACTATGAGCACTTATGTACCAAAAAACCATTACCCTTTACTTTTTGAAAGAACTAGAATGAAAAACAGTCCTGGTGGTCACCCCAAAATTTTGGGTGGAAAGCAGCTGATACAAGGAGAGAAGGCAGCATGGTACATTCCTTTGGACCATTTGCTAGAGTCAAAAACCTCAGGTGCCAATGAGCTGTGAGATTTTGACTAATCCACTTACTTTTTCTTTCCTTCATTTTCCCACTTTAATTGATTAGCTTCCTTTTTAATTAATTTTTATTGGAGTCTAGTTGCTTTAAAAAGTTGTGTTAGTTTCTGCAGTACAGCAAAGTGAATCAGCTTTATGTTTACATATATCTCCTTTTGGGGATTTCCTCTTTAGTAAGGACTTAGAAGACCATGAATTAGGTCATTATTAGAGTATCAACTTGTTATGCATGACTTAGTCCAGAAAAAAATAGTGTAGTCATCACCTCAAAAAGAAACCCTGTACCATCCCCTCACCCCCTCAAAATTGACATCATGATGGAATTCAGATGTTCCACTCATAGCCAGATGTTCCAAACCTTCCTTCCTGCCTCCATGGTGACCAGACCCATTGCTCCAGAGTCTTCCCCAGACCAGGCTTTCCCTGAGTCTGCCTTGCTCTCCAGTCACCACTGGTTATCTTTCCCCATTCTCTCTTTGATTCCCACATGCCCAGACTCACTTGTGCACAACCTTTGAACTTGCATGCTGTGTGCCAAGTGTCTTCATTCGGGTCCGACTCTTGGCGACTTCTTAGTGACTGAACAACAACAGAAAGATCTGTACCATTGTGGACTGAATTCTTGGTAGAGTAATAATAACTTCATGAAAAAGTACTTGAATGACCGTATAAAATTACAGTTTTAAAAAGTATTCAGGGACTTCCCTGGTGGTCCAGTAGCTAAGACTCTGCACTCCCGGTACAGTGTGGGGAGCCCAGGAACTAGATCCCACATGCCACAACCTAAGTTGAAGATCCCACGTGCTGCAACTAAGACCCAACCAAGAACTGGTGCAGCCAAATAAATAAATAAATACATTTTTTAAAAAAAAATATTCAGTTCAGGAAATTCCCTGGAGGTCCAGTGGTTAAGACTCAGCCCTTTCACTACTGAGGGCCTGGGTTCAGTCCCTGGTCAGGGAACTAAGATCCTGCAAGCTGCACAGTGAGGCCACAAATAAATAAATAATAATAATAATAAATTAGGAACATTCAACTCAAGTCCTGTTTAACCAAATTCTCTGGACTTCAGGGCTTCCTTGGTGGCTCAGATGGTAAAGCGTCTGCCTGCAATGCGGGAACCCCTGGGTCAGGAAGATCCCCTGGGGAAGGAAATGGTAACCCACTCCAGTACTCTTGCCTGGAAAATCCCACTGATGGAGAAACCTGGTAAACTACAGTCCATGGGGTTGCAAAGAGTTGGATACGACTGAGCTACCTCACTTCACTTGTCATGGACTTCAGCCTCAATAAAATCTGAAAGACAATTATAAACAGTAAATAAAATGGAGGGAATAGGCTGTCGGCTATTTACCATATTGTGCAAATCCTAGCGCACCGTTCCTTGCAGATGGTCTTCCTGTAATCCAAACTTCCTTCAGATCACAGTGGACAGATGCGGATGTTCCTCTGATTTCCTGGGGCTGTTGGCATTCTGAGAGGAGACAAGACGTCTCCTGGGCGGAAGCCACCCAAGAAAGTAGCAGTCACCAGGTCCCCTCAGCTACTGTTCTCCAGGCAGGTGGGGGGTCAGGCAGGAGGGTGCCTGCATCCTGCAGGGAACAGGAGCCTCACGGGGGAGGGCCAGCATTCCCAGACAGGCCAGCCCTGAGCGGAGCCTGCAAGCAGGCGGTAATGAATAAAGCCAGGAGACAGAATGTGAGACTTCCCCACAGTGTCCACAGATGTGGTCTGTGGTCCAACCACATGGGAAACAGTGGCAGCGCCTGGGATTCGGCCGTCAGCGCTGCCACCCCCTGGCCACGTTGTTTATGAGGCCGCCCATCAGGGACCGAACTGACTGTTCTTGTAAGGGATACTCTGATGGACTGCTTAGCGTGAGGAAGACATACCTCTCAACTCAAGTGAGCTCAGGTGAGCTTAGAGCTGCCCCCCACCCATGCCTCACGAGGAGGGAAGAGGTGCTAACACGGGACTTGGTCACACTGGGTGCTGCCCCCTTGTCAACCTGTCCTCTCGGCCCACACGTTTCCACTGAGTCAGTGTTGGAGAAATATTTCCAATATGCAGTGCAATTCATTATCCTCCCTACCTCCATATTCAATAGAGTCGAGTGATTAAAATAGCAGATTTGGAAAGAGACCTGGGCTCAAATCCCAACCAACCACTTACTGTTCTGACCTGTGACAGTTCAGCCTCTCTAAGCCTCGAGTTCTGTATTTGCTGCTGCTGCTGCTGCTAAGTCGCTTCAGTCATGTCCAACTCTTTGCAACCCCATAGAAGGCAGTCCACCAGGCTCCACCGTCCCTGGGATTCTCCAGGCAAGAATACTGGAGTGGGTTGCCATTTCCTTCTCCAATGCATGAAAGTGAAGTCGCTCAGTCGTGTCCAACTCTTCGAGACCCCATGGACTGCAGCCTACCAGGCTCCTCCGTCCAGGGGGTTTTCCAGGCAAGAGTACTGGAGTGGGTTGCCATTGCTTTCTCTGGTTCCGTATTTGAAATCACTTCAGTTCAGTCGCTCAGTCGTGTCCAACTCTTTGTGACCCCATGGACTGCAGCACACCAGGCCACCCTGTCCATCACCAACTCCCAGAGTTTACTCACACTCATGTCCATCGAGTCTGTGATGCCATCCAACCATCTCATCCTCTGTCGTCCCCTTCCCCTCCCGCCTTCAATCTTTCCCAGCATCACGGTCTTTTCAAATGAGTCAGTTCTCCGCATCAGGTGGCCAAAGTATTGGAGTTTCAGCTTCAACATCAGTCCTTCCAATGAACAATCAGGACTGATTTCCTTTAGGATGGACTGGTTGTATCTCCTTGCAGTCCAAGGGACTCTCAAGAGTCTTCACCAACACCACAGTTCAAAAGCATTATGAAGGAAAGAAAACTCTGGGACTTCCCTGGCAATCCAGCGGTTAAGACTCCACACTTACACTGCAGAGGGCCCAGGTTCAATCCCTGGTCAGGGAACCAAGATCTCACATGTTGCATGGTGCGGCCAAAAAAGGAAAAAACTCATCTCATAGCAGTGGAGTGAGGATTAAATGAAATGGGACTGTGAAGAGTTTGATTTCACACTGGGTCCTCTATTCTTCCAGAACCTTCTGGACCTGCTTCGCTGAGTGAGAGCTGGAATGTCCAGGGCTCCCTTGCAGCCTGTCCTTCATAGCAGCTCCTGTCTTCTGGCCACTCCTCTCCTCGGGGAGCATCCTGTCCCATCTCACAAGGTGATTCTGCTGGTAAAACATCTCCAGGACGTTCTTTAGGTATGTGTGTATTTCTGGTATCCCACAGCAAGTCAGCTGGGCAAGTTTGGAAATTTTGGTGACTGCCAATCTCCTCCTCACCTGCACACCACAGAGCTTGTTTCTTCAATGTTTGTTCTTTTATGAGAAAGTCTTGAAATGCATGTTCCTTCAAAGAAAGCAGGTGGTCCCCACCTCATAATAGGTTAATATCCAGATTTACACAGAGAACAAACAGACTCATAGGCGTCTTCTGGAAGATAAGTTCTTCTAGTGCTGTTTTAAGGGAAGGAAAAAGCACAGGTTTTAGTGTCTGTAGCCCTAAGTTTAAATTCAAGTGTATCCACTTACTGAGAGGCCCAGGACCAGCCACTGACTTTGAACTTCAGTCTTCTTGCTATCCATGTACCTGCCACAATGAGGAGGCAGAAGCCTGCCAGTTGCTTTCTCCTCCTCCCAAAGTCAAGGTGACCTGTGAAGAGGAAACCCCTCTGATTGAGGGACATGACTTTGACCTAAGCCAACCGTCCTATGGGACCAGTGATCACTGGCTTCCTGTTTTCACCACATCTCCTCTCTGGGCCCCATGAGCTGACCCTGTGTCTGTGTTTCAACTCCTTTAAGCTCTTGATTAGTTGCAAGCTGATTAGGAAATTCTCATTTGTTTTCACTTGGATTCCCTGGGCGACAGACCGTCTGAGATGGAAGTTTGAGGGCAAGACTTCTACTGGGCAGGGGAGGAGTTGAACTACGATGTCTCAACAGCCCAGCTGACCCCACCAGGGACTGTGTAGCTCCTCCAGAGTGGGCCTGTCCTTAGGCAAGGAGGCCAGTTTGCAGACTGCCTCTGGGGAAGGGCTGTGACCGTAAGTATCTTGGTTGACTGAGGGTAATTCCTGGAGAGAGGCACCAATGAGAATCCTCAACTGCCAAGTTCCTCAGCAACCAGTGGGATGAGTGCCTCAGTTCCAGAGAGGGCTTCTGGGTGGCCTCCACACATCCACTAGACCATCTGGGTGGTATTTTTTAATGTTCACATTTTTAAGTTTAAAAATAAAAATGCCGTTGTAAGTAAGTAATTGTGTTTGCTTAAAATGCTTCTATCCAAAAATACATTTTATATATTTGGAAAGGGCAAGCCATAGCTCCCTGAAGAAGTAATTTTGTCAGCAGAAAACTAAGCCGTAAAATACCTAATTTAACATAAAAAGGTTACAATTTAAATGAAGAACTAATGAAGATGGGTTGAAAAATCCAATGTTAAGAAATCAATTATCCTCAAACAGATCTATTAATATAAATACAATGCAGTTCCTATCAGCAGATTTTTGTAGAAATTGACATTCACATGAAAATGCAAATGACCTAGGATGACTAAAACAGTTTCAGAAAGAATCAAAATTGGAACGATATCAATGCCCAGTTTCAAGACTTGTCATAAAGCTACAGTAATCAAGGAAAAGTGTTACTGACATCAAAATAGACCAATAGATCAGTGAAACACAGTCTAGAAGGAAAAAAGCCACACGTTTGTTATAAAAAAATAAATTTTTGACAAAGGAACTAAGGACATTCTGTGGAGAAAGGATAGTCTTTTCAATGAATGCTAAAGGAAAACTTAAATATCTGTGGGGGAAAAAAGAACTTTGATCAATAACTCACACTATGTACAAAATAATAATTTAAAATATCTCTAGACCTAAATATAAAACCTAAAATTATAAAACTTCCAGAGAAGACATAAGAGAAATCTTTGTAACCTTGGGTTAGTTAATATTTCTTACAGAGGGTACTAAAACTAACATTCATTAAAAAAAATGATAAATTATATTTCATCAAAATTTTAAGCATCTGCTCTTCAAAAAACACCGTTAGGAAAATGAAAAGACAAACCATAGCCTGGGAGAAAAGATTTGTAGATCATATTCTGGTATTTTATATCCAAAATACATAAAGAATACCCAACTCAGTAATAAGAAAACAAACAACCTCTCCCAAAATGGAGAAAGATTTTAACAGATAATTTGCAAAAGAAGATAGGTGATATTTGAGTAGCAAATGACCATATGAAAAGATGGTCAATATTATTAGTCATTAAGCCAATGCAAATTAAAACACGAGATTCCACCACACACTTGTTAGTGACTGAAAATCAAAATTCTGATCATAATAAGTATTGATGAGGACACAGAATTCTCATACATTGCTGCTGGGAATGCAAAATGCTACCACTCCTTTGGAAAACAGTTTGGCAGTTGCTTAAAAGGCTGAACATGCATCTGTCATATTATCCAGTCATTTCACTTCTAGATATAAACCCAAGAAAAATGGAAGCAGATATCCTTCCAAATATCAGTACACAAATGTTAATGGCAGCTTTATCTGTGAGACAGCTCCAAGTCCATCAAAAGGTGCCTGGATACACACAGATGGTAGTACATCCACACAATGAGGTACTACTCAGCAATAAAAAGGAAGGGACTATTCCATGGTTGGTAAAGTCCTTGGATTCAGAGCAACTGAGGATAGGATGGCTGACGATGAGTTATACTTGGATTAACCGCCACCTTGTTCAAGTGTCAATTGTAACCATACAGAAACTTCTTTGTGAATGTTCACAGCATCATTATTTGTAATAGACCCAAACGTTAAAATAAACTATTGTCTGTCAATTGATGAATGGATAAAAAATAATGGCATTTATTTAGCCACTAGAAGGAAGTAGTGATATATGCTATAACTTGTGAACCTCAAAACATTATGTGAAAGAGTCAGCCACAAAGACCACATACTACATCTGCATTATGACATTTACATTGGCAGCCTATAGATACAGAAAGTAGACTACTGGATGCCCAGGGTTGTGCAGAGAAGGTGGAAAAAGGGGAGTGACTAGTAATGGGTGCAAGGTTTCTTCGAGGGTTGAAGAAAATGTTCTAAAATTAGGTTATGGTGATGGGAGCATAACTCCCTTGCTGTTGTTGTTGTTCAGTTACTCTGTCATGTCTGACTCTTTGCAACCCCAAGGACTGCAGCACACCAGACTTCCCTGTCTTTCACCATCTCCCAGAGCCTGCTCAAATTCATGTCAGTTGAATCAGAAATGCCATCCAACCATCGCGTCCTCCGTTGTCCACTTCTCCTCCTGCCTCCTTCAATCTTTCCCAGCATCAGGGTCTTTTCCAATGAGTAGGCTCTTCACATCAGGTGGCCAAAGTATTGGAGCTTCAGCTTCAGCATCAGTCCTTCCACTGAATATTTGGATTGACTTCCCTTTAGGATTGACTGATTTGATCTCCTTGCTGTTCAAGGGACTCTCAAGAGTATTCTCAAACACCACAGTTCAAAAGCATCAATTCTTTGGCATTCAGCCTTCTTTATGGTCCAACTCTCACATGCATACATGACTACTGGAAAAATCATAGCTTTGACTAGATGGACCTTTGTCAGCAAAGTAATGTCTCTACTTTTTAATATGCTGTCTAGGTTTGTCATAACTTTTCTTCCAAGGAGCAAGCATCTTTTAATTTCACAGCTGCCGTCACCATCTGAGGTGATTTTGGAGCCCAAGAAAATAAAGTCTGCCACTATTTCCATTGTTTCCCCATCTATTTGCTCTGAAATGATGGGACCAGATGCCATGATCTTAGTTTTCTGAATGTTGAGTTATAAACCAGCTTTTTAACTCCCTTAGTACAATTAATAGCCATCTAATTGTAGATCTTCAAAGGGTACACTTTATTATATGTAAATCGTAGCTCTATTAAAGCTATTTTTTAAATAAAGCAGTTTTTTAAAAAAATAGAAAGGAAGAGACTACTAATGCATACAGAAACATGGATGTATCTCAAAATAATGATGCTGCATGAGAGGTGAACAGGAGAGCTTACTGTACCAACATTCCACGTACAAGATAGTCTAAAGAAAGCAAGTCAGTGATTGACTGAAGAGAGGGCATGGGGAAGGATTGCCAAGGGGCATGAGGAAGATTCTGGAAGGGACTGCCATCTTCATTACCTTGATTGTGGTGATGAGGTCACAGTTTCATGATGGTTTCACATAGAACATCAAATTATGTGATTTACACAAGTTCCATGTCTGGTGTGTCCATTAAAACTTACTGTGTAAAAGTGTTTAATGAAGAAGTGGTGGCGGGCGAGGGGTGGGAGGAGGAGGCTGGGAAGGAGATGTACTAAAAGTTGACTTTAAAAAATGCACAACCTAAAAGTTGAGAATTATGTTTTATTTGGCAGACAAAACTGAGGACTTAAGCCAGTAGACGGCTTCTTAGATTTTTCAGAGGGACTGCTCCAAAGAGGCAAGAGAGGAGCCAGGATATACAAGAGTTTTGCAACAAGCATCAAAAGATTACTGTTAATTTAAAGAAAGCTAGGACTTCCCTGGTGGTCCAGTGGTTAAGAATCTCCCTGCCAGTGCAGGGGACACAAGCCCGATCCCTGGTCCAGAAAGACTCCATGTGTCTCAGGGCAACTAAGCCAGTGCGCCACAACTACTGAAGTCTGAATGCTCTGAGGCCCGTGCTCTTTGCCAGGAAAAGTCACCACGATGAGAAGCCTGAGCACTGCAACTAGAAAAAGCCGGCAGACAGCAACAAAGACCAGACAACCAAA